ACTTCACCCAATGTCTTATATATAGTACATACATAAGCACTTTTCTTGCATAATAATATGATAAACTTCTCTTCATCAGTTAAAAACTCATCTTAGAAGTTACCGCCACCAAAGTGTCATCTCTGATTACTTAGACTTAGCAACTTTACATTCTTCTTCCACTCATTTGTATACATATATTTACCATCATGAGTTACATTTTATTTAACTGTATTCCTTTTCTCCTTATACAACTGAGAATTCCTTGAGAGCAGTGACTTTCTTTCATCTTGGAATCCTGGGACCTAATATCGTGCATTATGTACACAATCAAGAAACACTTATTAAATGCAAACCATTTGTGAAAAACATACGGCAAAATATTGGTAATTATTGAAGCTGGCTGAGAGATATGTAGCAATTCATTATGATTACTATTTTCTCTACTTTGTTTTATGTATAAAATTTTGTAAAATAAAGGGTTCAAAGTATCAGGAGACCATGCAAAAATGTCAGATACATCTATCAGAATTTTAAAGTTTCTACCACAAATGGAGCTACTATATCTAGAACCACAGGCTGTATGTGCTCCACATTTTGTTCATTTCTCATAAGAAGGAAATTTGAAGCAAAATAATGTTGTCCTAAAATAAAATACAATTACGCTCTTTCAGAGAAGCCTTAGGGCACAGATATCACATTAAATGAGAATTTCTAGATAAGCTAGAAATTGGCAGCTCAAGCTGAGTGTTTTATTGAGGAGGGAATTCTATGGATTTTTGTTTTTCTCGTCACTCAACTAAAAATGCTACAAAAGCTTAGCTAGTACCTCTGCTTCCATCCTGTGTCCGCTGAACTTATTTTTACCTACTTGCTGATAGACCCCTCCCAACACACACTGATCATTTTTGCTTTGTTTCCTCATACTTGAAGACTTGAACTCAATGGCTTTGCCTGATTAGGCACCAGGACTATACCCCCAGTGCTGAAGTCCCAATGACCACAACAGCCCTCGCTCCCATTTTAAAACCTGAAATCCATGTGCTACAAGCCCCACTTGATTCATTGTCTTCATACAGCTAAGCTTCTACTGTTGGAGTTTAGGGAAACAGCTCAAAGTGTTTGCTCAGCTTGGACTTGTCTTCCCTCATTCTCCAGTTTGGGACATTTTTCTCCTCCTAATTCTAGGTCCTATACAACTGTTCTTCATTATGAAGATTTCCCAGAGCCTTTCGAAGAAGGTTCCACAGCACCTAAACCTCAATGGCCATTGCTTAGGTCTGTGCCCTGCAGTTGTTTCTTCCTGGTTTGTCGACAACTAGTCCCTTACTAGAGTGGAAGGTTACTGAGGGAATCTTCCTTTAACGCTCATAGTGCATTTTCCCACCATCTTAGTTACTACCCACCAGAGGAATCTGCACAGTTTAAAGGTCAATATGACTAAATTATGTGCTACACTAAGAAAAGATGAGATTAATCTTGTGTTTTTCCTCATTCCCCTTACTAGTCAGCAGATATGTGCAGATCTTCAAATTGTTATATTAAAATCTCATTACCCATTTAGATCCTCTTTACAAATTACTTTTTCTTCCCAAATCTTAGATTTCAATTGAAAGAGATTTTTTAAATAGGACTTTATCAAAACTAGAAACTAATTTAAGTGGGAGAATTTTTTCTCTTAACACATTTTTATCCATGATTGATTCTGTCAAGCATTACTGATGATAATACTAGGATGACACTGCCTATCTCAACACCAATATACACCCACCAAAAAAGACTCAGAAGCATTCTCTGTGTTATTTGCTGTATAGCGTCACACTGCCAGAAATACCCCACGATGGCTCCTTTGAAATATCCTTGCCTACTGAGGATACAAACTAAATGTAGCCTAAAAGATACACAAGGTTCTGCTCTAGGCGTAGTCGTCTTCTCTTCCTCGCCACAAAGAACAGCTAATTCGCTGGCTTCTTATGGGATATATTTGCTAGGTTGTTCACTCTCAGTGAAGTGTTTGGCCATCTACACAGATAACACTTTTCTACTTTTTAATTATTTTTAGCTGGAAAGGATGAAAGTGTAATTTTTGTGGCTTGCTTTGTAGCTACCTCTTTGTCTTGATCCCCCACTTTGCTAGTAATTAAAAAGCCTAAATTCTGTTTCTGCTTAGACAGTCATAGTCTGAGAAAACAGAGGCAGGAGGCCTAGGCCAGAATTCTCATATCCTTACTGGGTCTCATCCTTGGACTCTACTTGAACTTATTGTTCCCCATGGTTGGACATGAGTCACACGTGGCTACAGTTCAGGGTGGATCTTACAGGAAAAGAGACTCAGAACAACACTTATCTTTTTTAAAATCTGCTTCTGATCCATTATAATAAGAGCTTAGTGGTCTAGCTTAGAGTGCTTACACCCCATGCTTGGGTCCAATGCTTGGATTGAGGTTAAAGCCTTGAAGAAATTAAGTGGCCATTACAGGATCCCATTTTCTGTAAATATATTTCCCTTAGATATTTCACTAGGTTAGTGGCCAGTTCAGGACAAGATTTAAAAATTCAGGAAATTTTTCATTGGTTTTCCTCCCTCTCTCCCTCCCTCCCTTCCTTCCTTCCTTTTTGGAACATGGTCTCACTATGTAGTTCAGGCCAGCCTTGAACTCCTTATATAACCCAGGTTGGTCTTGAACTCATGGTGAACCTCTTGCCTCAGTCTCCAGAGAACTGGGATTATAGGCGTGCACCACCATGCCTGGATGTCTTCATTTACATACTTTCCCAATGTTAGGAAAGAGGAGTAAAAGCAAAGTGTACTGTGGTGAGAAAGGCCTTGCATAGGATTCAGTGCTCTTCAGTTTTGTCCTACCTCTGCTTCCAGTTAGTTCTGTTGTTTGGTAAGCCAATTAACTTCTCTGGATTCCTTTAGTTACCTATGTAAAATGAGAGTTGGACTAGACCAGCATTTCATAACAGGTACTTCAGAACACACAAGGACTGATTTACCCTACGTATGGTGGTAACCTGCATTCTTGAATTTTAGCATAATAGAGTCTTGTATAGCACATTAAATCAAATGTTTTCTCAGCTTACTGGATGTTCCACACAATATCCACCAATACCTAGGCATATCTATATCTATGAATGTATAGAAAAAAATAGATTGAGATATGAATTTGCATATGACTTGGATAGTCATCTCAAGGAAGACATTTCAGGCCAGCACAAAATTCTTTGACTCTAGTTAGGAAGAGTCAGCTTTATAGTCCTACCTCTTACGTTATTGGAATGCAAATTTGCAGTTTCAATCTGAAAAATCCTCTACTTTTAAGTGACTGAATGTAGAGCTTCTGGAATAAAAACGGAGTCATTTCCAGGGGTCTTAACTTGGTTCTTTTGACTTTCAGTTTTCCATAGTCAACACTGGCAGTAGAAGAATGGTGCACTCCCTCACAGTTTTATGAAAGCTGACTTCTGTGAATAACTCCGTGATGGTTCTCCTTCAAAACCCAGTTCTGAAACCAAGCCACTTAGTACATAGGACACTAAATTTGAGAGTGCTGACTCAACCAAGTTCAGAGAGCAAAAACCAATAATTCTCAACAAAATGGTACAGGATCAAATTATTTGATCATAGAAATTGAAGTTGTTCTGTTTGTACTTCATTAGGACATCAACATTCATGCACTGGCGCAGAGATCTCAAGAGAATGAAAGATTAGTATGTAACCTTCTGAGAAGTTTGATAATGTATTGTTTTTCTTCAAGGTTTAAATAAAATTACCATGTAAAGGACAAAAGCCACTTTCTGTGGTTTTATTTAAAACAATATTATTTTCAGTGTGCCTAAGCAGAACTTGTCATAGATTGTGAATACTCAGAGGACACAAAAACTACATGAGAACTTCCTATGTTTTTATATTGCTCTGAATAATTAGAACTTAACAAACCTACTTCATAGAAAAGAAGAAACACTGACCATTTTTAAAATATGAATAGAAACAACCTGTGCACCAGATGTAGTTTGGGATGATGTCATCTTAACTACCAGCCCCTAGCTCCTGTAGTTAGAAAGATTACAAGAAGGGTGAGGAGGTTTCACTGCTTCCATCTCCACACGTTACACACAATATGAGACACAAATACTCATAACTCAGCCATGAAACATCATATTCTCATCTCAGAGTATGAGCAAGTATTTCAGGGACTCCATTCTTTCACTCAGGAAGAAAGGTGAGCTTGGATATAGAATTAGCATCCAATTATTCAAAGTATGCTACTTCAGTTAAAGCATTATTTCGTGAGTATGTATATGTTTAGCAAAGTTAATCAACTTTTTCCCTTAAAGTCTCAGATCTTTGTATAACATAACAAAATTGATTTTGGATAGCAGAAGTAACATTTATATTAGATGGACAAAATATGTATTGGTAGCAACAGTGCTGCCCTGTGTATATGGGTTCCCACCCAGGAGGCAGATGATCAAAACGCCTCATTTGGAGAACACTTTCACAAATTAAGTGGTAAAAACACATTTTGACGAGCACCAATTAAATCAATGATATACCAAAACTTACCCATTTTCTATCATAGTCAACAACCTAGCTCCACCCCCACCCCTTCTAACTAAGCACACATAGATATTTCCTTCTCAAATCCAGAGCCTTTTCCAGAGGCTAGAATCACTAATGACATGAAGGTGACCAACTTGACAACGAAAGCCCATCCTGTATTATCATAGTAGGGTCCTAACTTCCCACCTTAGACATTTATTTAACCCTCCAAAAGCAAGCCATAAACCCAACTATGTTTCATATACAGAGAAACTGGCACAAAATCCCTTCCTTCCCAGTGTCAGCGATTTGGATAAACAGAAATGAAATGTGGAATCTCTAGGAGGCTCTAGGTCAAGCACACATATTTAAAAACTTTTACTTTGCATATTAAGCCTTTTGGACTTCTGCAGCATCTGTGTCCAGTTCACAACTAGACCAGAACAACAGCACAGACTGGGAGCGACCACTTTACCTTCCGAAAAATCAATCAGTCCCAGCAAATGAAGCAGCTTCAGAGATGCACATATAATCACAACAATACCCACTGTTTGCAGTCCTTCCGACTCCCACTCAAGAGTCAACATCCTCTAAGCTGGAAGAGCATCCCAGCCTCCGGACCCCTTTTGGAGTGGAGGGAGTTAATTAGAGAATCCGAGCAACGTCTGCCTTGGAACAAAGACTTGCAAGGGGGGAAAGTGAGCAGATCCTCTAAGATGCACCGTGCAAAGCAGGCGGCCCCCCGGGGTGAGGACAGACCTGGGCTAAAGTCCAGCCTGTCATGATGATCCTGGCATTTGCCTGGAGGGCTGCCCCCCACCACCACAGCGCACGCCCCTGGACTCTGCGCTGTGGTTGCAGAGCACTTGGACTTCAGCGCTGGGAGGGAAACATCTGTTGGAGAGCTGGAGACTTCACAGTGTCCGCGGAGAGGGGACACTCCCAGGAAACTTGCCCGGAGAGCTGGGGCGCGCCACGCGCTGATGCCGGAGGCTGGGCAGAGCTGCTGCGCGCTAGTTCGCTGCCTGGCAAGCTTGTGAATGTCCCCTTTCTACCATCGCAGCTGCTCTCTCCTCCAGAAGCCTCCTCTGGGAGACAGCTGAGCCCGCTCTCTGGATGCTAGGAAAAAAAGCATTTCTAGTGGCTGGTGCTTACAGTCCTTTTCACACAGCAACCCTGAAAGCCCAGGGATAGCTTTTTCGGTGAGGGAGAAAAGTAGAGTAGGAAAATGATTCGGTGACTTTGCCAGAGGAGAGCATTCTAGCCACCCCCCGACACTGCAGGGCCCTGGGGGTTCCTGCTGAGCCACCAGGGCTTTATATGGAGACTGATGGAGAAAAGACTGATATCTCATGTTTACAGACATGCAGAGAGGGCGGGGCAGAGCAGACTTTTAAGAACAATGTTCAGTGACTGCCCCCTGCAGGGTGGGTACCACTGCCCACACTTTAAAGCTAGCCTCACCGTCTCTGGAAGTTTCACAAACTTCCCTGATAGTAACCTCCTCTCCCCAGGCGCGCGCATATGCGCGCGCACACACCCCCCCCCCGCCCCCGCAAGGTGCTTGTTAAAAACAATCTCTTGTGCTGAGTCTAATTCTAAGGATCCTAAAGTGTATGTTGCTATGCAAGACATCCCGGTGATTGTTACCAACAAGGAAGTGTGGGGACTGCGTTCCCCACCAAGGACTTCATCAGGTGTCTGATTCCAAACCTCTCTGAGCAGTGAGGCAGGTTTGTGGGGACAGACTGGGACACTGGGCTATGCCAGAACCACACTGGCTCAGTCACTATCATGGTCTACCCCTGCCAGCCTGAAGATGGAAAATAACAGAATGAACTGGGACCCTCCCATATGCAGCTGCAACTTGCTATGAGACTTGAGAGTTTACAATCCCACCTCAGTTCTCCACAGCATGCTCTGGCATTTCTTTGCTGTTCAATCTTCCACAAGACACTTAACTTCTCTGGAAACAGTACTTTCTGAGAAGTCCTTTACTTCATTTAAAAGAGAGTTGTTGGAATTAAATGTGGCCATAATAACAATAAACATTTACTGAGCATTTGATTTGCTATGTGCCTATCAGTATTACAGTGACTTAGCAATTACTTATCATTGCAAATTTATGTGGTAGCGATTAAGATCATTTTCACTTCATAGGTAAGGAAACTGAAGCATAAAGAAGTTAACTTGTTTGTCAAGCTTTGGGCAGAGTGCCTGAAAGGCTAAAGGCATTTATCTACCCAGTTACTCATTCACATTTATTAAGCTGTTACTCTGAGCTACAAATGATAGCTGAATTATACAATGATAACTAATGCCCAGCTCTAGCCTATGGGGGCTTACAGTTTAACTGGAGAGTCAGGCTTCAAGTGGAATGAGACCAGTAAGTGCAGCAGCTTGTGGCATATGCATCTCTGCAGGATGTCAGGTGGGCAAATGGAGGGAAAGTCAACTGCACTTGAGAATGGTGGGGTGGTGGGGCCAGGAAGGAGGTTTTAAAGAGCAGGTAACCATAGGTGATGGTGACTTGTATCGTTACTAGCAGTGGTGTGCCCTCGTCAAACTTGGGGTCTGCAGGCCTCAGTTAAATCCTACTCCTGTGCCTTACTTGCTGTGTGACCTTGGAGAAACTGCTCCATTTTTGAGTCTCAGTTTGCTCAGTGTAAAAGGGAAATGCTACAACTACCTTCTTAGCGTTGATGTGAGAATGAACTGAGACTGTGGAGAGCTGAGCCCAGTCCCTGATGTCCACTGCTCAGCACGGGGGACCTGGAGGCACATGGGAGCTGTGCTCACTAGGAAAGGGTCTGCAGCATCCCCTTGCGTGAAATGTCTTGCTTTTCCCTGGTGCTGTCATCTAGTGCTGGTCTTTTTTCCAAGAAGACTTGCTGATCACCACAGTCACAGGCTGTTTTCTCCTCTGGCACCAGGCAAACACTTGGGCCACCATCTAAGCCCTCGTAATGGTGCTTTTCATTTTGAATGTTAGATTTATGGGACATTTCCTTGTATCTGTCAATCCAACCACCATCTATACATCCAGACATTTTGTTTTCAGTTAATTTAGCAAGCCAGTAAAGGTGGTCTTACTTAGTAGGTGACAGGGAAAAATGTTTTAGGTAACTATGTTTTTGAAATTCCCACCATATTTAGCTGTAAGAAGTCAACAGTTTTTAATTCAAACATTGTTTATTTGGCTCCCAAATTCATGCTTTTCCCTTTATATCCTCAGCAGATTTCAGCAAACATTTGTTGATCAATTTCCTCCTTGATAGTTAGGTTAAGTTTTAAAATCAACACATCTTATTTTCCAAGAATGAAATCCCCACTATCCTTGATATTCATATAAAGACCCATAGATATGGTTTTGTTGACTTCAGGAAGGCTTTCCCCTTAGGATAATACCAATTCCAGTTTAGGATCAGCTACATGAGCTTCTTGGAAATCTGGCCTTTCTTAATCTACATTAGTGGCTTTTTTGACTTGGTTTTCTGAGCTCTTTTTTATTCACTCCAGCTGCAATATCTTCTGACTTTCAAGAATGCTATGGCTACTTTGACATCTATTTTATAACCAAAAGAATGCACTAACATTTCCTACCCATGGACCTTAAGCTACACACCATACTATGTACTGTAAATGTATAAATTAGCCATTAATCGATATTAGGTATTATCACTATTTCAAAGTAGAATAAAAACCAAGGGACATGGGGATTAAGCTATTTTCACAAAGTCACTTTCAATGAGGGAGCAAACTAGAATTTGTATGAGATTCACTTTAAAAACAATAATCACTAAACTCTTGGAGTAGTTATAAGTATCAATTATATTCTAAAATCTTGTCTTTTTGTAATTTCCTGAGATCTGTATTATTATATTGGCCTGGAGAAGAAAATTCAGGCCTCAAACAATTGAGCAATTTGCCTGAGGTCATCTAGATTGGACATGGAAGAACTGACTCTTGAATTACTCCACTCTCAGGCCTCTCTGCATCATGGTGAAGGATTGTTTTAAACTGAGGCTCTGGTAAGAGAGTGTGAAAAGAAATTATTGACAGAAACTCTTAGCAGAATAAAAACTTACTCCAGGCTGGGGATTTAGCTCAGTGGTTCCACCGCCTGGCTTGCAAGCGTAGGGTCCTGAGTTCGATCCCCGGTACCAAAAAAAGAAAAAAACTTACTCCAAGGAGGCATGTCCAAGTCAACTGCCCAGTCAGAGAAAGAGGATCAGACAGTACACTTGCAATTTTCTTGCACTGGCCCATTGTGATCCTATAAATAATCTCAAATGAGCTGATTCACTGAAACTTGAAACTGATTATTTCTTCCCTTTTTGTAGTAGCTTTAGTCTGAAATTTTACCAGCTGATCGTCCCTGGTGTTATAGTTTATATCTGGATGTTTATCCAAAGCCTCCTCCTGTCATAGGTAGGGCTTTGGGGATGAGATTGGATTACGGGGACTCATAGCTGCCTTGCTGTTGGGAGGTGTGTCTAGTTGGAGGAGGGGATCTCTGTGAGCAGGGCCTGGAAGTGTCTGTCTCCCTTTCTGTGTCTCTCTTTGGCTGCCCCTGCCTCCTTGATACAATGTCGTGAGTAGTAGCACACTTCTGTCATGCCCTCTGCCATCCTGTCTTTGAGCCAGCAGAATATGGACTGAAAGCTCTACAAAATGTGAGCCAAAGTAAACCTTTCTTCCTTAAATTGTGGGTGTCAGGTATTTTTTCCCAGTGATAGGGGAAGTAACTAAGACACCTGGTTAATACATGTTCCTTAGACTGTTAATACTATGTTAATACCGAAACAACTGGAGTAAGGTGGAGAAAAATGTTAAGTCAGATATAATTTACTGCCTGCCCATTGTCTCTTCAAACATATACACAGAATTGTAAAGCACATTGGAACTAGTTAAATCAAATTTAAATTTCATATTCTAGGAAAGGGATAAAAACACCACTCCAAAATATAATGGCATGGAGATTATTTTAAGGTGAAGAGAACTGAGAAACAACAGACGTGGAAATAGCTCTGTACTTTCCCTTCTCTCTAAGGGTGTTGCCTATCACCCTAGGGTACTTCTGCTAGATTCAGAATCCAGGAAGCGCAGCTCTGCTAGCAGTCTTGATGTCACCAGATGAGACCATGCAATGGTGGACACCAACAACTGACACACCCAGCGGCCATCACTGGCCAAAGGTAGCTTGGGCCAGACATGGTATGTCCACTCTACCATGGGCTGAAGGCAACAGTATCCTCTGAAGTGGTGGGATGGGCAAGAGGGACCACGCTGTCTGGCTGCACTCATGTTGGAGAAGTGAAGATTGGAGGTTTGATAGCCAGGAAGGACACTGCTAGATATCCAGGGAGGACAGTGAAGCAATCTGTCCCAGTCCCTTGAGGGGCAAGGCAGGGGCAAAAGGAAGAAAAGGGGAGGGGCAGATAGCTGCTGGCCAAGCCACACACTCCTCTAGCCAGTGCAGGGAAAAGTGTGAGTCAGGTGTTTTGCATCTGTCTCAAAACCAAGGCATAGACGTAGAAGTTTCTCTTTGTAAAGCTGTTTTCCTCCTGCTCTCCTGGATCAGGAGGAAGACGACCATCCTCCCTCTGTAGAAAGTCAGCACTGAACTGTGTCTGAGTAACAAACCTTACTGAGTAACCCTTAGATTGCATTGATTTTCTCTCTATATTTTCCATTCATAATTTACCATCCCTAGCAGCACAATCTCTTTTCCTTTGCCTCGTAACTTCTCTCCAACTTATCAACAGTTGTTAAATAATACATACATAAGTCCCAAATTGTAATCCTTTGAATCAACTTACTGAACTCTCCCACATACAAAATCCGCCAGAAAAAAAAAAATGTATACACACTGCAGGAAAAGGAAAATAGTACAGTGATTCCTCAGCAGATGGTATTACCCTCATATGGGGGACCCTAGAGAATGTTGTATATCATAGAAAACCCATACACTGCAGGCCCTTAGAGAAGAAATGGAACATGCATGTGTACCAATCTCAAGGACCAAGGTTATCAAAGCAGCAGTTTGCCGTACTAATAAATGTCTAGAAGCTCATGGCCACCACTTTGAGCACCTCTTGTAATTGTAGAGGCCAAAGGTAACATGATTCATCTCATGATGTCTCAATAAATTTAGCATTAAAATATTTATACAAGTTTTTATTTTCCTAAAGTATGTACACTTTTTTGGGCAGATTCTGTATATGTTCATGACATATGTAGATCCCTTGCAAGTCAACAAAGATGGCTT